TGGAAACACACACGCAAATAGATAAGTGGGATTGTGCAAACCAAAAGTGAGCCAAAATGTGGAATCCACGAAAATGCTCTTGTTGCACAATACTAGAGAGACGCTAGCGCGATTGCACAATAGGCAGATACGTAAACTTGTGCACAACCTACTAGGCAAAAATGCAACGATCTCTATCCCAAGTATGCTATACGTATGATATTTCGGTGCTATGATCCAAGATGATCTTATATGACAATCTTAACATTGTATGATGCTATGGTTCTTGCTTATAAGCTCTTTGCTTATCTTTCCTCTTTGCTTAAAAGCTTTGGTGGCTCTTTCACTTTTGAGCTCTTTTCTCATGCAAAACTTCACGAACCAAGATAGCAATTGTGTATGCGGTGACAACTTTGTGACACAAGGGATGATAACAAGATATATGCACCAATATGAGATGGTATGTATGATCACTAAAGTGCACAAGTCACGTTGCCGGCAATACTCAATGGCTAGTCTCGATGGGCAAGCTACGCAAAAGTAGGGACATGTGGGGTATCAATGCAATTGCAAGGTATGACAAAGATGTCATCGAAGTTACCGTCCTTGGCGATGATGAATAGTCGATGGAGATGAGCGGTGGTGATGTTTAAGTCGAACCGTACCTAGATAGCCGAAACACAATAGGACACGGGAACCACAACCCAAACAAACGTTTCAAAATCGACGTAGGAGGTAGCGGTTAGCGGTGGTGGTGTTTGTGAAAAATGGTGTGGGTATGCGGAAGTAGGCGTGGGCTCCGGGCAAAATTGGGCGAAAATATGGTGGATGGAGGCGTGGGGGTGGAGTTGCTGCTGCCAGGGGCCGGATGTCCGGGCCAGCGGCCGGATGTCCGGGACGCCGGATGTCCGGTGGACTCGGCGGATGTCCGGGCTCCTGGATCGGGGACGAACATGATGAACTCCGCGGGAAAAATCGCAACTCCGGGGCAAAATTCGGACGAATTGGTGGATGGAAAAGGGTGGGGAGGGTGGGGAAAGCTAGATCCACACGCAGCAACACAAATCCATGGACCAAATCCAACAAAATCTCAACTCACCAACAAATCACAAAAAAAATTGGGGCTATTTTTGGTGGGGAATTTTCGGATTTAGGACGAAAACAACAAAATCAAGCTAGAAAACACGGGGTAGGGGCTCCAAAAACGTGATCAATGTGGCTCATGATACCAAGATGATGTAGGGCGGAACCCTAGGGGCCGATCTTTCACGTTTGGAGTGGATCCTACGGGGAGACACGACGAACGAACGGAAGAAAACAAAAGGGATCACGGGGAAAAACGAGAGAGACACTCAACCGACAAGGAATCAATCACACGAGTGCTAGATCACCGAACACATAAGGTAGCACAAGATTCAAAATCAACAAAGGAAAGATACAATAGTAACCGTTCTTCTCCGTGAGGAGGTCTTGGGGGTCTTCCCTTGAAGGGGTCTTGAATCCGCTTGGGGGATCTTCTCCGAAGAGGTCGTGAACTCCAAGGAGAAGTAACCAAGTGGATGAGCAAGGCTCTCACACAAAATATGAGCTAAACCTATGCTAACCCTAAAATGTACGGGATGAGGGAATATATATAGTCAAAGGGGCGAAGGGATACATGGGTCACATCCCAAAGGAGCTGCGCGCAGGCAGGGGGCGCCGGATGTCCGAGCGACGGGCCGGATGTCCGGTGGTTCGCGAGACACCGGATGTCCGGGCTGGTAGGGCCGGTTGTCCGGTGCCGGAGGGGCCGGATGTCCGGTGCGTAGGCTGGATGTCCGGGTTGTCGGGGTGGCCTTTTGAGCATTCGAGACGCCTGGTCCGGATATCCGAGCGGGAGGCCGGATTTCCGGTGGGGGGCCGGATGTCCGGGCTGGACGCCGGATGTCCGATTGCTGTAGTTTCTTCTACAGAGGGGTGGCCGTGTAGATCTCCAGGGGCCGGATGTCCGGGTCCTGGCCAGATGTCCGGTGCCTGGAGGCTACTTTTGCCTTCTTCCATTGGTTCTCTTCTTCCTTGGACTTGGGGTCTTGTCCATCTTCATGTGCATCCTCGGGAGGGTCCTCTTGGTACCTAATCATGCACAACATTCTGGATGGAGGTAGTAGCCATGTCTCGAGAGGATCATATGATATATCACTAAGGAGAGAAGTCACCTCAGTCTCGAGAGCTCGGGCTCGTGCTCTAGTCATGGGTCCTCTTGGTGCTTGGTGAGACGACGGAAGGTCCATGGGGATGACCAAAGGATGCTCCGCATCACAAACCAAACTGATAATTCAAAGAGACTTGCAAATATAACTTAATCACACATAAAAGAATTCAGAGGAGATTCAAATATTTCTCATAGATAAACTTGATCATAAACCCACAATTCATCGGATCTCGACAAACACACTGTAAAAAGATTTACATCGAATAGATCTCCAAGAAGATCAAGGAGAACTTTGTATTGAGATTCAAAGAGAGAGAAGAAGTCATCTAGCTAATAACTATGGACCCGAAGGTCTGTGGTAAACTACTCACAACTCATCGGAGAGGCCTTCGAGATGATGTAGAGGCCCTCCGTGATCGATTCCCCCTCCGACGGAGCGCCGACGAAGGCTCCAAGATGGGATCTCGCGGATACAGAAGGTTACGGCGGTGGAAATAGTTTTTTGTGGTCGCTTCTGATGTTTTCGGGGTACATGGGTATATGTAGGAGGAATAAGTAGGTCGGTGGACGCTCGAGGGGCCCACGAGGGTGGGGGGCGCGCCCCACCTGTAGGGGGCGCGCCGGGCACCCTCGTGGCCGCCTCCTTCGTTTCTTGACTTCCACTCCAAGTCCTCTGGATCACGTTTGTTCCAAAAAGATCGCTCCCGAAGGTTTCATTCCGTTTGGACTCCGTTTGATATTCCTTTTCTTCGAAACACTGAAATAGGCAAAAAAACAGCAATACGGGCTGGGCCTCTGGTTAGTAGGTTAGTCCCAAAAATGATATAAAAGTGTAAAGTAAAGCCCATAAACATCCAAAACGGGTAATATAATAGCATGGAACAATAAAAAATTATAGATACGTTGGAGACGTATCAATTGTGTGCCTCATCTGATGCATATGAAAGGTCACATTGTTGTTGTTAGCTTACAGCCAAGTCTGCCTACGGGTCAGTGTTGTTCATACAAGATTTCTCGAACAGATGAAGACCTCACAATCAAAGAATGGAAAAAAGTCATGAATAATCATAGGGAGCTACTTGGAAGCAACATTGTGCGAAGCCCACGAATTGGAGACATGAAAATCTTCATTCTCCATAATGGAGAGTTAGGGGCTATGTTGTTTTATGCTATTTTACCTTAGAGAGGGTAGCAGGCCCTAGCTAATACTCATGACCATCTGCTCAGAACAATTAACTAGGGTTGGTTAGATGACTATGATGATGATGAGTATGACTTATTACTATGATAACGAGTAGAAGTTGTTAGATGACTATGATGATCATGATGATGATGAGTATGACTTGTTATTATGATAATGGTGATGAGTTATGATGATGATGATGATGCTGAGCTGTTATATCATTATGAGCATGATGAGTTATTACTATGGATCTGCACCATGTTGCCTCCACTTGGATCTAATCCACATCTCTTTCACCCACTGAAGCTTACCATGCCTACCATGAAGCTTGTATTTGTACACCAAAACAAAGCATGAAGAGCAAACATTTGTTGTTGGTGATTGTTGTGATCTGTGCTTCTTGTTGCTACCTTGAGACCCTCATTTGTACGAAATTTAAGTAGCGAGTTAAATTTGTAACAATCGGTATTTGCTGGAAAAAAACTATAAAAAGGAAAATTTTAGTAGCTTTAGACCAATTTAAGTAGCAATTTTAACACATTGCAAATACCAACTATGTTGCCAATCTTAATTCTCCTTGAAGAAATTGTAGTTTACAACTAGGTTATCATATATATGAATCTCACCTCATGCCGAGCCACACTCCACATGGACATCAAGCAACCACATCACTGTCCACGGACCTCCGGCCACACGAACCTACAGACCAGCTACTAAAGTGTTTGAGGCAGAGGACTGGCTGGGGTGGCGGTGTCAGAACATCAAATTGCACATAAAAAATCAGAGCTCACCATGGTGCTCCGTGGTTAGGGTGTTGACCTTCACATAGTGGTGCTTGGGAACGATGGCCGACGAGCAGGATGGCCAACCTGGTGCCTGGGAGGAAGGCTCTTGGTGGAGGTGTAGCGACCGACGTAGATGTTGAGACAATCATAGTTCTCGATGAGGCGTGACCAAGTGAAGTGTCTAGGGGAGCGACCAGGGACTGGGCCTTGATCATGTAGCCATCGATCTTTTCCCTGGCCTCCTCCGCGATGAGGTATCGACGACGTCGATAGGGTCAACGGAGGCATCCTTGGTTCTCGAAAAAAAACCCGGAGGCATCCTTGGATTTGCGCTTCTCCTCTTTCTTCGACTTGGTTAGATTAGAGGCTACGGATGTGATCTCAACCGAGTATAGGACGTGGCCGCAATGGAGTTTAGGTATTAGGGTTTTTGCCAAAGGGGGCCGTGCCTTGGCTGAGAATGGTAAAATTAAAGGCTCAAGGAGGGAGTTGTTTTTAAAAAAAAAAAACTCAAGGAGGAAGGGTTTTATCGGGCTTAGGAACAAGTGCTGCCCTGCTGGGCCAGATATATGGGTTTTCCTAGGCCGCCCCCATCATGGAGAGAACACGGGCCACAAAGCGCGATGGCATCCCGGCCCATCTGATAAACCCACATGTCAGTGTCACACTCGGACACGGTATCCTCTAATCCCTTTCACCATCCTCGAAAACCAAAAGAAATCCCGCAAAACCCTAACCTCTCAGGGACCCTCTGCTCTCGCCGTGCTCCGCAACGTCCAAGCAAGCGCCGGCGGCGCGACCAGCCGTACCACCCGATCTCTCACCATGGAGAAGGTAACCCTGCGCTTATCCGCTCCCATCGATGGATCTCTTTGTTCGCGCCTCTGATTCGAGTTTTGCTGGCCTCGTGCAGCCCGCGGCGCAGGCACCGGGGAAGGCGGCTTCAGAGGAGAAGGTTTGTGCGGAAGTTGCAGCGACAGCAGTCCAATTTTGCGCTCTGTTTATTATCACCGGCTCATCCGATTTCTCTGTCTCTCTCTTTTGGAACTGATGCGAGCAGCAGCTTGACGACAAGGAGCTGGAGCTAGAGCGGGAGCGGAAACTGAAGAAAGAGCAGAAGGTATGCTTGGCCGAGACCCGTGACAACTTGCTTTTGCGAATTCCGTCCTTGTGTTGTTGTTCGTTTTGACGTGCATTGGTAATTGGCAACCAGTTCTCCCGAATTAGTTGTGTGGTCATCTGTGAATTGTGCTGATGTTAGAAACTCAGGTTCAGTGCTAAGATAAAATTATTACTCAGTTATGTTTATGGGAAAAGATCGCTTATGGGTCGAGTGTTCTACTTGCAGGCTAGAGAGAAAGAGGAGAAAAAGCTCAAAGCAAAGCAAAAGGAGACTGCTAGGCTCCAGGTTGCAACATTCTTAAATGAGTTTGGTGCTGAAATTGCTTGGTGGAGATGGGTTTGTGCTGATTTCGTCGTCTGTAGGCTCAAGCAACTTCGGATGGACCTAAGAAAAGTGAGAAGAAGCAAAAGAAGAAGGCTGCGGGGGATGAAAACCCTGAGGATTTCATTGACCCTGAGACCCCTAGTGGGGAGAAGAAATCGCTTGCACCTCAAATGGCTAAGCAGTATAGCCCAAGCGCAGTTGAAAAATCGTAAGATGCTAGTCTGCCTATCTCGTATTTGTAATTCATAGCATCTGAAACGCATAGCTGAACTGAATTCCTTTTTTCCCCACAATGTAGGTGGTACTCCTGGTGGGAGTCAGCAGGATATTTTGGGGCAGACCCTGCAAGCACAAAACCACCTTTTGTTATAGTAAGTGACCCACTTCTTATGAGCTTCATGCAAGATGTGCACTGGGAGCTGGGGTAGCATACTGTCATCTTATGGGATCACTAGTGTTTCTGTACAAATGTGGATTTGGATTTCCTTCCAGCAAAAGTGCTAAGTTATTTCATTTCAGGTTCTACCACCTCCGAATGTGACTGGAGCGCTTCATATTGGTCATGCACTTACAGTGGCTATAGAGGTGTAAATTTTATGCTTGCAGAGATGTGAGACCTATTTGCCATTCCCTGCTCATTCACGAGACATTTTAAGCTCTTTGCTTTTATTTTGTTTCAACAATGCAGGACGCTATGATAAGGTGGAGGAGAATGTCGGGATATAATGCTCTGTGGGTCCCAGGAGTGGACCATGCTGGCATTGCTACACAGGTCTGTATCTTGGACTTGATTTAGTTCATCTTGTGAATGACATACACATATGGTACAGTTGAGTTACTCATATCTTCTTTGGTGGCACTTGTTGTCACTCAACTTATGAAAAAAAAAATACCGTGTCTGTTGTTCGTGTGCCACCACTAAAATAAAGCTGCCAACAGGGGTTCTAGGCCCTGTTAGTATATGTAATGTTTGTAATATTGGCAAAAATATTTGGAACACTATTTCCAAAGACCAGATGTTTCTTACCGTGTTACTGCCTTACTGGTAGACTTGCCAATTTTGCATGCACCTAAGTAGAAGAAATGGCCACATGGATATTTTAGTTTTGGCAGAATGATGTAGTTTCTCTTTATCAGACTTTCTTTTTCCCTTTTAGCAAATGAAACTAAATCTTGTATGGTGTTGCCAAATGTAGTTATTTTGTATTGACTTAACCTGCAATATATTCTACACCCTATGTTTGATTTAATAATCTGTTCTCCTAAGCCAGGTTGTAGTGGAAAAGAAGCTAATGCGTGAAAGGAAGCTGACAAGGCATGACATAGGCCGTGACAAATTTATATCTGAAGTAAGCACCTATTCCCCTTAATACATGGTTATGTTTGTTGTTCATCTTCTCCTGTGTCAGATCATAATTCATTTAATCATCACCTTTATACTATGGAATATTAATAATTGGGCTCAATATCCGATGTAGTCATGAAAATCGCAGTGAGCATAGCTTCACACTGGGCTTAATTTGGTTCCATTGTGGTAATCATTTTTTTGCTTATTCTATTTTTTGTCATCATCTTTTGGTCAGGTTCTGAAATGGAAAGATCAGTATGGTGGTACCATACTGGGTCAATTACGTAGGCTTGGGGCTTCGCTTGATTGGTCCCGTGAGGTAAAATTCCTGTTTTCTTTAGTTGAGAAAAAAACACATGCACTTGTTTTTTTACTCTTATATTTCTTACTCTGAAATTACCAACTTGATCTTAACTCGTGTATCAGTGTTTCACAATGGATGATCAACGATCGAAAGCTGTAACCGAAGCATTTGTTAGGTTGCACAAAGATGGCCTAATTTATAGGTTAGTTTCCTCTCCTTCTGTTGCTGTAAGTGTTAACATATTTTTAACTATCATCTCTATGTCATTCAATGACCGACCTAGTTTTCTTCCCTCTTATGTATGATTTGGTCCTTTACAGGGACTACCGCCTTGTGAATTGGGACTGCACACTTTTAACAGCAATATCTGACATAGAGGTTAATAAAGCTTATTATATTGTCTACACTGTACAATTTGATTCCAACCCATGACTAAGATCAACTTCTTTATTAAAAATGCTGTTCTCAGGTGGATCATCTAGAGCTTAAAGAGGAAACTATGCTGAAGGTCCCTGGTTATAGTAGTCCTGTACAGTTTGGTGTGTTGATATCCTTTGCCTATCCTCTTGAAGAAGGACTAGGTGAAATTATTGTCGCAACAACAAGAATTGAAACAATGCTCGGTGATACGGCAATAGCTGTTCATCCTGAGGATAAAAGGTATAAGCATCTGCATGGAAAGCATGCCATTCACCCGTTCAATGGCCGAAAACTCAAAATAATCTGCGATGCTGTGTTAGTGGATCCCACTTTTGGTACTGGGGCTGTCAAGGTATGTTATAATGGC